TGGGAGTGGTAGTCGACCTTACGAGGGCTATTGTCAATAGAGGATCATCCACTCTCGGTGTCATGAGAGGAATATCCCATGTGTTCTTGCTCAGACAAATCCCTGTCCAGGGTCATTCGGGTTGAGAGAGAAAGAGTTCTCTAGGAGAATCCGATTAGAGTGAAACTCGAGTAGAAACCGTATGGGTCTGACAGCACCATGCTCGATATACGATCTCTGGGATATTAGATGGATGAGGGACTATACGTACACAGTAATTGAGGATAGACAGGTCTAACGGATTGGATTCCCCTATATCGTCTAGGGACTACGGCGTAGTGGCCTAGTACGTCCGTAGTCGATGAGTCAAGTGAATTATTATAGAGATAATAATTCACTGAGTTAGAAGGAGTTCTGATAGGTATGACTCATGGCTAGCTCGATATTGGGCCTAAAGGGTCACACACATATGGTAGGCATTGCGATGAGTAGAGGTTCGGATATGAGATATCCGACGGAGCCCTTGTCTTATTAGATATCCAATAAGCCCCTGAATTATTGGATCCCATGGACGAGATCCAATAAGATTCCATGAGAGATTATTGGATAGAGATCCACTAATCTAAATGGCTTGGGTTATTGGATGCAAATCCAATACCAAATAGGCGAGGATCCATTAGGGTTTGATAGGGGACCTCTATAAATATGAGGGATTCAGAGCCTCATAGGCTAGAGCCTTTGCTTGCCTCTCCTATTGTCCTTCCCCTCTCCACTTGAGAACAGGCATGGAGTTTTGAGGAGCGTCGTCGCAGCCCTGCTTTGTGGATCACCGCTAGAGAGGAGGACGCTTGACCTCCTTCACCCTCTCCTAAGGATCTACAAGGAAACAGGGATATACGATCTCCCTAGGTAACATAATCTATTCTATACGTAGTTTTTCAGTTTCGTGGATTTTACGCACTAATCTTCGCACGACGATGTACATCTCTTTGGGAATCGGGGATTTTGTTTTTCTTATTCTTCCGCTGTGCATGTGATGTCGCCCCCAAAGATTTTCCCAACACGACGAACCCTCGACGATGCTCCAGCGGACTTCCGGCAAACTCCTGGACTTGTGATGATCCACTTGGCGAGTTCCGACGAGCTTTTTTGGCAAGCTCCTGGACTTCTCGGATTTGTTCCCGTAGAACCTCCAACGATCGTTCGGACTTCCGTCGAACTCTCAAACCCCCAATGTGATCATGGTCTTGACTCTGGCGTAACTCCTACTGCATGTGTTACTGCCATCGTAGTTAATCCTACACATATAAAACAAACTTCAATCTAGACAATTAATACTAAGCATTAATCAAGTTGTCTGGCATGTCATTGGTCCCTCAACACTTCGTTTGATTCTTCGACGCATCATCATCTCCTGCGGCCTATTGCCCAATCGACCAGTTGACTCCGTAACTCCGATATCCTTGGCGCAATATCCGCTCTTCTTAGCCCGATGCCCGAATTCACGGCCCCAAGCCTTCTGTCGATACATCGACCGATCCACCGACCCAACGTCCAATCTTCTGACATGTTCCTCCGGCACAACATGATTTTCCTGCTTTAATTGTCTCATCCTGATCGAAGCATCCTGCGTCACTCAAAATACAGATTAAAACATAAATATATATTAATTGGTTTCATCATCAAAATACGAGATTCAACAAAAGAATCAAAAATTAATCTTTTGATACATAGTTTTGAATTATTTTAAACAGAACCAAGCGAAATCATTAGAGACATGTACACCCATTTTACGGATGTTATTAATGGTTTGAAAGCACTTGATAAAAGTTTTTTTAATTTTGAACTTGTTAACAAAATATAAGTTCCCTTCTAAAAAATTGGGATTCGAAAGTGACGACAATACAAATGACAAAGGACTTGAATAATTTCCATCTTTAATAACTTATCAGGTCTTTAATGACCTATGAAATGACTTGTATCGAATATGATAAACTTGAGAACAATCTTCCAAAGAACAGAAAAGATTCAACACTTAGAATAAATGAAGACCACTGGAGCGAAATCTCAAGTGATGATGACTTTGAACTCTTAATAATAAAGCTTAAAAAGTTCTTAAAATAAGAATCAAAGAATAAAAACTAACTTAAAAAGAAGAAGCTGTCAAAGAGAAGAAGAAAGCACTCAATATGACTTGGGATGAAACGAGTGCATCAAAAGACGAGGAGTAAAATAATAAATACAAAGTGGCGAACTACTCCTTAGTGGCTTGCGACAACAAGGTAAGTGACTCAACCAAAACCCCTTTTTTTTACTATGAAATTACTTGATGCATTTCATGAGTTGTTTTTAAATTAGTTAGTAAGAAATTAAAAAAATATTAAAAAATCATTCTTTTCTTTCTAGTGATTTTGAAAAATTAAAACTAAGCATAACAATTGCATGTTAACTCCTTATACTAAATGCAATGAGTTAAATTCACTGAAAAAGGAAAATGTATTACTACAACAAATAATAATAAAAGAAAGATCATTGGAATTAAAACGATTTTTAACAAATCGAATCTTTTGTTTGAAGATGCTATGTTAGTAGAAATAACTCTTTAAGTATTTATGAAATAAGTGATATAAATTTAAATCTAATGCTTGCATACCAAATAAAATTAATTCTATGAATGCTTAAATGTTTATCTTAATGATTTTCATGATGAAGCTTGTTTTTCGAGTTTAAACGATAATGCATGGTTTTGGCTTAGAAAACAATGGTATGCTTGTATGAAATCAATCACATAGAGGAATGCATTATTTTTCTTGAAAATGATTCTATCCCTAAAAACTTATTAAATTTTTCAATAAGTAGTTGATAAATCTATTTATGTCATTTTGGATTTCTTGAAAGTGATTTTCATGATTTGATGATTTAAATTTGAATGAGTTTTATCTATATCATGATCTTCAATTCTCGAAATTATAACTTGAGATTTTCTTTTATGAATCAAGATCTTTTACTTTTTATTCTCATATGATTCTTGGATTTTATTTAAGATTTTATATGAATCATGATTTTTCTCATAATTTCTCAAAATTCATGACTTAAAATTTCCTTTAAAGATTGTCTAGTATTTGATCTTCTATGTTTCTTTTTGCTATTTACAAAAGAAGTGATTTGTCAAAATGAATCATATCTCTTGGTATTCAAATAATCTTTGTTATTATATCTTTCATGTCATGATTTATTTATGATACTTCCTTGTATTCATAAAGTGTATACCTCATCATATTTGATTTAAATTTATCTTTATTATGATGTGAAAATTGATGTAAAGGAAAAATAATTACAAAATTATATTCTTCCCATCATTTTGACAATAACAAAGGGTGAGAAAGTAGTACTAGCTTACACATTTCAAGGAGAAAAACTTGTTAACTTGCACATTTCAAGGAGAAGAATTTGCTAGCTTGCTCATCTAAAAAAGGAAGCAAAGATTGCAAACTTGCACATCGTAAAGAGAGAAAAAACTTGCTAGCTTGCTCATCTCAAAAGAGAAGCAAGAAGTGCTATCTCGATCCACCGAAGGATTGAATCGAGGGATACACTAAAGGATCGTCAATGCAGTGAAAGCTCGCTAGAAGTTCATCGAGAGTTTGCCGAAAGCTCACCGGGAGTTTGCTGAAAGCTCGCCGGAAGATCGTCGGAAGTTCACTGAGAGTTCGGATAAACAATTGACATGCCGGACAACTAGGATTGCTTGCATTGTAATTGTCTAGCCTTAATTGTCGTAGTTAGGGTTTCAATTGTTGAATCTCGGATTTTGATGATGAAGTCAATTGATGGGTTAATTGATCTAATCCATATTATTGAGTTAAGTGTGTAGGATTAACTATAATTAATTGGCCATAGTTAGGTCATAATTGAGTTAGTTTTTGGTGTAACCATACTAACTCAATTAGGGGCTCATTGGGCCTGAGTTGGGATTGTTTTGGGCCAAGTGGAAGGCTCATTCGGTGACTCAAGGTTTGGAACCACCTGTGAGCTGGAAAAGTTAAGAGTACACTTTTTCATACTATCAGGCGATGGTACCACCAGACTGGGCTGTGGTACCGCCCAGTGTCAACGTGTCAGGCAATGGTACCGCCCAATGTTAGTGCTGCATGTAGTGGTACCGCCAATACCCGGGAAACCCTGGATGAAACCTTTTTTTGCTCTATTTTTTAAGTCATTTGGGGTCTATAAATACCCTAGTTATTTCTGCTTGGAAAAGTATAAAATTGAATAGAAAAGGGGGAAAATATACTTAAGAAAAAAGTATTGTAATCTCTTTAAAGTTAGTGAGTCTCTTCCTCCTAGAGTTAAAAGCTTTTTAAGGGATGAATGAGGTCTAAAAGAGAGAGGTGTAAAGGTTCTCTCGTGAGCTTGTGAAAAGGAGAAAGAGTTATAAGGGTAGTTGATCTTCGCCCGTTGGAAAGAAGATCGGTAGTGAAAGCTAGTGGCCTTGAGTAAAGAGGAATCGAGAGTGGACGTAGGTTGAGACGACCGAACCACTATAAAATATGGTTTGTATTTATTTTACGCTTTTTATTTACATTGCAAACTGATTTCTTACTCTTACTGCACTCGTTACACTTTCGTACATTTTTTAAGTTAAACATCTTTCCGATACAATTTTATTGAATGAAGTTTTACGAAAGCACTAATTCCCCCCTCCCCCCACTCTTAGTACCAATTTCGGTCCTAACAAAGGAAGCATCGACGATGAAGGCAATAGCTACGCTAGGGTTTATGGATTGAGGTCACACACGAGGTTACTTTGTTTGAACCAAGCGCTCAGCCGAGGTATCTAGTGCTTGGGTTCAAGCAAGCGCTTATGCGATGCTTCACTAAAGCGCGTCGCTTGGTCAAGCCTGAGACGCTCGAGCCTCTCCTTGCCTCACCCGAGCACCTAGGCGAGTACTCGAACACCTATTTAAACCCCTAGCAAGAACAACAAACAATCATCTTCTTCCAATTACAAAATTCATATGTTGAATCCAAAAGAAAAACTTATACTTTCCGATGATTGTGTTCAAAAATACAAGTATAATGTTTGTCTCGGCAAAAATCAAAATTTCAGCACCATTTCATGTAACAATATGTGTCAATATTGTGAAGGTTTAAGAGACAAGATCAGAGACAAAATTCGGCACCTTCTGGGCAATTACAGGAAGAATTAGTTAAATTGCCGGGGTGAACTGAATAATGAACCTGATTGATGGTCCCATTAGAGAATAAAATTGCTGGAGCATCTGGGACACTATTCGAGTGTTTGACGAGCTTTTCAACAGCAAACATGGCCCATCATCCTGCTGCATCACCATCTATGAGGGCATGGAACCATATGTCATGAAGAAGCAAGAGAAGAGTACTTCAAGACAAAATCTAACGATACAAAAGCAACAATATAACAAAACATCTTTCAGTCATATAAATTCCTGCTTGTGTGGGATTAACCACTCTGGAAACCTTACCTTGTTTCCCTTTTCACATCGACCAAAGATAGTGAGGAAGCTACCATGATATATTTGTTAGTTTATAAATTTAATAGATACCAACGGCAAAGTTCGTGTCATGCTCGTAAATCTTGTTCCATGCCCTTTGCGCAATAATTTTCAGTAATCACCAAGAGTCAACCACTTTGCAGAGGACCAATGTGACGGAACATGCATGTATATACTTCAAAAGCATTATCTACATGATATCAAAGTTCATCAAATTTGTCAGCTTCAGATCACACAGCTGTAAAAGATCTAATCAGATGGATTACCCTTGTCATCATCAACTTGGCAGTTCAAGTTGCCCTCCTTTATCTCAGGAACATACTGATCCAAAAACAACTGGATTGTTCTCCAGTATCTATCTCCACCAGAGAACCATGTATCCATATGCATGCCATTTGGAAATTCTACAAATCTGCAATCCCAATTATTTTCTACAGTTTTAGAATACAGCATCTGCATGTGTGAAGGGGGAACCAACTCATCTTGCAAACCAGATAGAAATAGAATCGGCCGCTTAATCTGCATCACAGAACAGAACAAGTAAGTAAATTCTGCAAGAGCCATGTATTAAAACAAGCACCTAGGTAAAAAATGGAAGTCCGATTTTTAAACATGAAAATATATGATCCAAAGACGAAGCTCTTTCTTGAAGGTGATGGAAACTATGGAGAGCTCTGGAATTGTTATAGATGATCACCAGGTTCCTGATTGAGAAGGATGGTTCATGTTCAGGAGGTCCCATAAATTTGATCTGAGAGATGTTGAACACTGGTGTCATGATGCAGGACAACTCGCAGCCAAGTCTTTGCCAGTTCAGTCTGTTTAAGTCTAAGATTATATCAAATTGTGTTCAGCTCAATTTTTCCTTTACTCAGGTAGATATTCATCCAATTATTGAGTTGTCATAAATATGTTGAGATTCATTGTCTGGGACAATCTCGCGAAGGTGCCTTATTGTGCAGTTTTTTAATTAGGACAATTTCTATTGAGAGTTCTTTATTAAGATTAGTCCTTAGGCTATGATTCTTACCTATTTGTAATACGTTTTGGATTAGATTAGAATTTGTTAATAAGATTATCCTTCAAATGATGAGTTTTGTTTAGGTTAGTTATTTCTTCCTGTATTTCTGTTCTCATCTCTTCCCTAACACCTTCCTATTCATCTGCTCGCTGAGATGCTGATCATGGTCTTATATAGAAAAATAAAGCCTCGATTGCTGATCATGGCTGGATTTACCAATCCAACAGTCAAATGGGACGTGGATCAGAAGATTTCATCTGGTTCAGTTTGATATGTGTTGTACTATTCAGTAAGCTCACCAGGCCAGGTTTACTAGACAGGTACCATACTGTACCAGATGATAAGATCACCATCCACTGCCAGTACCTTTTTCCTAATGTCCAACAGTTGTCACAACTTTCTTCATTTTTTTCCCCTTTTTTTTCCTTATTCTCTCGTCACAACTTTCTTTGTTTTTTTTTTTTTCTTTTTTCCCTTGTTCTCTCTCTGTCTCTCTCTCTCTCTCTCTCTCTCTTTATCTTGAGCATTTTCGCTCTCCTCCTCCTCATCCTTCCAACCTGTGGCATCATGGCAGCCGCCTCCTTCCTACTGTGTTTCCAACTACTTCAATGCCTCCTACTGTTCTTCCCCTTCTTTTCCACCGCCTCCTCCTATTTTTTCACTCCTTCCCAACCTCTCTCTAGAATTGACACCGCCCATATCAAAGGTTGAAATGTGAACCATACTAGCTAGTACCATATAGGTCTGGCCACTAGCAAGTATTCGTACGAGATTGAGATTTGAATCAATGATTGTTTTATTAAGTCATAAAAAGCTCATATTACTCTTTTTAATGGCAAAAGAAAATTTTTGCTAATATTAACAAAGTTCAATAAAGACTATTTTGTTATGGCTCTGTTCTTAATCTAGTGTCCTTGGAGCTGCATGCTGTTGCAGATCATGTGAACTCAAATGGTAACTTATTACAAATAACCAGTAAAATACAAATCATGAGATAATGGCAGTGTTATATCCAACACAGATAATCTCAATCCTTTCCAATTGATTACATCTTATTAACACATGAACATGTCGATATGGATATCAATGCAGCCAAACTTCACAGGTTCATATCTCGCAATAAGTAATATACACTACACTTCTAAACTGTATGATATCATGGCTGTCAAATAGTTATTAAAAGAGTTGCATTGAAAAACTGGTCCACTTGAGTTTAGATTTACTATTACTCCATTAGAAACATACAATTATTTCACAACATAGCTCCCAAATTATGGTCGGCACAAGATGAAGCAGTTTCTATCAGCTAATTGATTCCACATAAGGAGATAATGTGGTGAATATACCAAATTGAAATGGGTAAATTAGTGTATCAAGACCCTTGCAATATTACTTGCATTGCATCTGAAGGGTTACAAGAAGTAACACTTGGTTCTTATCTTCCAAATGGTACTTTTTCTTTTATGAAAAATGAAATGGATATAATTCTTTCATATGACTGCTTTCCTGTTGCTAAAATCTGCACTTTCTCAGCTTCTTTATCTGCTTCAATCTAAACCGGTTTTGAAGAATGAAACGTTATATTCTAACATATTGATAAACTACAATTTTAAATAAACAAAAGAAAAAATCTGTTATGATCAACTAAGACATCACAAAAAGCGAGTTATATTCAAACTAAATTAACATTCCAGGTATTAAGAAATTATGATTACTAACTCTAAGGACATATCACAAAAAGCAAGTTACATATAAATTAAATTAACATCCCAGATATTAAGAAAAACTCTTATTGCTGTTTTTATGCATAAAGCAATTTACATTTTCATATGGAAAGAAAAGTTAATCAGTTCAAGCTGATATAAGATGTTAACTAGTCTGCAATATGAATGGAATTTCTGAATGCTTAATCTACTATAAACACTCCCAGAGAAAGTGACAGTTTAAAACAAGATCCATGACCTAGCTCAGCAGAGTTTCCCATGGATATGGATACTTACCTTGCCGATGATATCAATGGTTCTCCATGGTGAGCGTACAATACAATTGAGAATCTTTGGACCTTTTGACCCACTGCAGCCAATAAACCATCTTAGGAAAGGGAACATAATGCCAGCCATGTCCAAGATAGACGTGAAAGTATTCTCCAATAGAAGAGAAGAAACCTGGAACGAGCATTAAATATTCAGACCATTATAGTCGAAAGCATACAATTTGCAAAACTACCAATAAATTCCATCAGAATATGTTCACAAAAAAAAACATTTACAGACCATGTGCAGGCAATGAAGAGCTAAAAGGCATCTTAATGTGGTATTAAGGCATACATTTAGTGTAAAACCACTCTAAACTTTACAGAAACGATAACAAAAAAAAATGTTGAATAAGTCATCAATCTAGTCAAATACTACAGGATACACCATTAATAATCTTCTTTTTTTTTTCTCAATGATCAACAAAAGTTGGTCTTGCAAATCCTTTGTTATTAGATAAAGGTTCAAAAGAAAAACAGGACTATTAGTGTTAAAATTCGCCAGCATATTATCACGGACAAAACTGTAAACGGGGTGTTTAATGTAATGCTAATGTATGTCTGTGTCTCTTGGTTTGTTCATGCTAGGCATAGCATGTAGAGGGACAGTCGAAGGTTTAACAACCCCATTTTAGTTGAGTTTGGTGGTCGTCCTAGGCTTACAAACAAAAGTTATGTCATGTGAGCACTTATGGGAATTTCGATCTGTAGTGGACCATTTTGGATTATTTGTTGTGCAATCGTTCAGAGCTTGTGAAGTCTGTTTATAATTTGAATTGGTTATAAAGTATTTCCTGAAATAATTGTTTGTGGATCCTAAGTGAGGCACTTTCTCTAATCCGTTTTCTCTTTCGTAGGTCCTAAGGGACAATACGAGGTTTCAGAGATGTTGACCTTTGCGGACGGACATGCAAGGGTGTCGCACAGCTTAGGCAAAACCAGCTAAGTCCGTGACAGATGGTCTCAGAGCGAGACAAGCACTCATAAAAACACTTGGCATACAAACGTAGGGGACCTAGCGGGGCTGCGTTGAGGGCAGCTAGCACGGGCCACCGTTTAGGGGAAAGTGGGCATGGAGATGTAGGGAAAAGGAGTCGCTCAGAGAAGCGGGCATCTGAGATTGGCATTTAGAGGAATGGTCAACCCTTCACACAAGAGGCATCACGAGGACCAGTAAGCTGGGAAGAATGTATAACGCACAAAGGTTGGGATGGCTGAGTTTGAGCTACAGCTCAGCGTTGGCAACCATACTTGATGGTGCTCAAGGCAAGCTAGGCGCTTGGTAAAGGATGAAACCATGTAAGGTGGCATAGGTTGTTCAGCGATTGAAAGAGTTGTGCAAAGCTCACAGAGGTGAGGGGAATTGCTAACTCGAAGAATTCAATACTCATGCAAAGGCTTGTATACGAACGATGGAGTGTTTGTGGCCATCCCAAGGCGACCGAAACTCGGCGCCATGGAGCATTGAAACTTTCTCTTTAGCATTAGAAGGATACGTCCGTAGGAGGCTGAAGTGTGCAGCGAGTTCAGCATGTTGCTAGGCCTTGAGGGGTGCAGCAGGGGCTATATTGACGTGGAGTCACAATCTAGCAAGTACGTTTGCGGGAGGCAGAACAATACACAATTTGTTTAGCAAGGCGGAGTAGTCCAAGGGGATGGTGGTCTCCGAAACTTTCAGAGAGAAGGAAGCGGAGAGAAAAGTTGCTCCAATGAGACAGATATCCAGGAGGGATAAGTCCCGACTCTCCAGAGGGAGAACCATGTGCAACGGACCGCACATGTTGAGGAGTACCTCAAAATAACTTCACAAAGATCAACGGACCGAACGAGAGACGAGCAGTCGTCGCATGATCTCGCTTGAGATAATGCATTAGGGAATGCATTGCGAGATCAAATGGGGGAGCGACCCAAGGCAACACAAGATGAAGGTACACTCAGAGTCGATATAGAGATCGGACTCAACGAAGGACTGACCCGTGGAATGGTGGGCACGAGGGCCACCATCAACCCAATGCAAATCGAGGAGCAGAGCAACTTGGGTGTAACTTGGCGAAGTACCTAAGCCGCATAAAGGGAGCCGGCATAGAAGATGGAACACAGAGCGGAGGCACAGAGCTTTCCTTGGATATAGGTCAAGGACATGAACTCTTGCAGAGGCAAGAGCAGGATCATGTCGTTTCATGGGTCCCTCATTCTGATGGAGCGGGCTCATCCTGCATTGTGCTAAAGACGAAGTGAGCTTCGAGGCACATGTACCTTTCCTCGAAGAAACAATTTGACAGAGGAACTAAGGCGACTTAACTTGCGAAGGCGAAGTTGGGTTCAGAAGGCCTTGGCACGGGGCAAGAGGACACGGAGGTGGGTACTCTTGAAGAATATGTCACGGTGCTGCCAATCAAGTTGCTATGAAGGAAATGGTGCGCAACAAAGATTATGCTGGTAGGGGCAAGGGCCTAGGATCCAGACAATGGTGCACCAATTTCAACGAAGTCGGTAGACTTCGAGAGTTACTATGCGACGAACTGTCCTAGAGCTGTGCTTCGTCTGAGTGTGACCCGAGAGCGGATGGACGAAGGTCGATTGCCAAAGGAGCGAACACAATCGAAGATGGAAGAGGCCACACATTGAGGGATCACAATCCGAATTCATCCCACAAGTATCAGAATGCAATGGAGATGTCACCAGGAAGTGACATGGTGCAGCGAATCATGGTGGAACAGTTTGTGGCAATGTGATACACACGAATCTAGTCCCGTGAGGGACTATATCATACGAAGGTATAATCGGGAGTTACTAGGAGCTCCACATCGGTGAACAATACGACGGCAAGAATGGCTATGAATTCAAGGAGTGAAAGCCATGGTACCACAAAGGCGAGTCTTCCGTGTGTGCATCGGATGAAAGCCTTGGTCATCAGCATATAAGGGCTGTGTACCACTGAGAGAAAAGTTCAAATGGAAGTACCAGTGAGTCCCATAGGAGGGACTTGATCATGCAATGGTATGATCGAGCGGCTGGAGAGTTGGACTGCTCCAAAGCCCATATTCGCTTAAGAGAGCCAGCCAAGTCAGAGGATAAAGCCAAGTAAGCGAACGTTGCTACCAAGGAAGCTAAGGAGAACAGAATCGATGCGAACCCTGCAACATGATGGTAGAGGCCATGCATGGGAGTTGTAGTCTATCTTACCATCGACCAAGGGGAACTACTTAGAGAACACAGAGGTATTGAAGCAGGGGGTCAAAAGGGGCGAAGAAATGACGACGAGTCCAGAGGAACTTAGCTACCCAAAACCAAGCATCGGTTAGAATGGAGGTGGACTCAGAGGAGTGCCACAAAGACAGATCTATTGATCGCGAAGAAATGGATGTAGATGTGAGGCGACGGATAGTAGGGCCATGGGCATGGCAGTGCCATGGTACCATAGAGACGGGATTTCCATGAAGTCATCGACCCCTTGCTCTCATGAGGGGAAAGGCTTGGTCATGAAAGAGGCCGAGGAAGTGGAGAATGCAAAGGCAAACTCCAAGTACCAAGATAAGGCTGAAGGGCAGAGGCCAGGGAACTTCGTAAGACCGGTGTCAACGAGCTTCTCGTCAAGATAGCTAAAAGTTGAGAACTTCGGGTCGATGCAAGAGTGTACGACCAAGGAACGAAGCAGGCAGTACGCGGTGTTGTACATTTGATACTCAGTGGAGTAGGCGACTGGGTTGATGGAGAAGACATTATAATCTCAGAGGCGACCAAAGCTATCAGAGACTTACTCTAAGTTGCGGTGAAAACTTCTTGCATTTCAAAAGTTCGATGGCATTGGAGAAGATGAATCACAGTAACTAACTAAACGCAAGGAGTGCAAACACTTCAAGTACTTCAGAAATGTGAGCAAAGAGTAGGCGAAGGCCAGTACAACCCTCGAGGAGGCGGGCGAAGTCAAGTAACCATTGTCTTCTTAACTCTTAAAAGAATGGGTGAAACTGAGTACCCCAAATCTCTTATCTATCCAGTAGAGGGGCTTTAAACATGTTCAAAGACCCTTCGAAGAAATCAAATTGAAGACAATAGTTGTCAAATCCTCACCAATTGTGATCAGTGCTACTGAGAGTAGATTATTCGCTTCATTTCTAAATAGAATGTCAATCAAAAGTGAAAGTGATACGAACCTACTTGAAAGTGACAACTAAGTGAAAGAAGAGTCGATAGGCAAATTTTATGGAGAAAGGACTCAAAAACTTCAAAAGTTTGCGAGGCGATGCTCGTTAAAGCTCCAACAAGCATCCACTCAGTTCAAGTAGCATGAGGCATTTGAGAGACTGGCACATGGTAAGGATGGTCTTTTCCTTCATCTAAATGATCCGCAGGAACCAACAGGGATCGACACAACTCAGCCAACCCTATACTAGAGTCAGAGTCATTGGCGAGTTGAAGCAGCATGGCGGATCAAAAGTTCGACCACTCAACAACAGCGGCGGAGAACAGCTGGGAGCCAGGAGGTGCATTGTAGCTGGAGCAGAAGATTGAAGATTCAGCAAAGGTGAGGAGTTACAACGTCGGCAAAGGCTTCAACGAGGACGTTGAAAAAATAAGTGAGGGAGAATGTCACGGACAAAACTGTAAACGAGGTGTTTAATGTAATGCTCATTTATGTCTGTGTCTCTTGGTTTGTTCATGCTCGGTACAGCATGTAGAGGGACGGTCGAAGGCTTAACAGCCCCATTTTAGTTGGGTTTGGTGGTCGTCCTAAGCTTACAAACAAAGGTTGTCATGTAGGCACTTGTGGGGATTTCGGTCTGTAGTGGACTATTTTGGATCCTTTGTTGTGCGACCGTTCAGAACTTGTGAAGTCTATTTGTAATTTGCATTGGTTATAAAGTGTTTCCTGAAATGATTTCTTGTGGATCTCGAGTGAGGCGCTTTCTCTAACCCGTTTTCTCTTTTGTAGGTCATAAGAGACCATAGGAGATTTCGAGGAGCCTAACCTTTGCGGACGGACACGCAAGGGTGCCGCACAACTTAGGCAAAACCAGCTAAGTCTGTGACAGTATGTCAGAATCCAGATGCTATATGAGCAATACAACCAAGGCAAGGACACATTTCCAAGTAAGGAAACTTACCTTATATTCTATGCATTTAAAACTCATACAAGCGAAAAAAGCAAACTAGACATCAAAAAAGAAAAAGGAGAAGATTTCAGGCATAACAGACAACAAATGGTAATTGTTGAACAATCATTCAAGAAGAACAATGACTTGATACTACAGTTCAATATTACAACTATAGCATCTAAAGCAACAACTACATAGCTTGCAGAAACAAATAGCTGGTTTTAAATATATACCTTATCAGGATTATTTTTTACAATCACTGCTCCAACTGCACCTCCTAAAGATCTCCCAAAGACAACTATTCTTGATGTGTCAATATCTTTTCTCTGTGTTAGATGATTTAATGCTGCCTAATAAGAAATAGAACCCCAGTTATCATAAATAATCCAATAACATGAGAAAACAAAACACACATCAACAAACCTGAGCATCCATGATAATGCCATGCTGTGATGGGTGACCATCACTTTCTCCATACCTGTTGTATCATGCATACATTTTTCATGGTTACACAAACACAAACATAAATGGCATACACTGTATTAATTGCCAAAATTCAGATAGCAACAATCAAGACACTGGTAAATCATGGGGCAAAAGAATACCCTCTGTATGAAAGCATGAATACATTGCATTGCAGCCTCTGCATCATTATCCGGACAAATTCAAGACGGTGAGCAATATCTAAGCAACTGGGTTTAAGGCCTCCAATATTGCAAAATCCAACAACAACTGAATTACAAGATATATCCTCCTAGAGATAAAAATTTTCAGGATACTGCCAGCATTTTCTTGGAAGAAGAGTATCGTTGGACCTGCAGAACAAGGATATGATAATCACAAAAGGGGAAGAGGTAATTGAAGTGCCAAAAGAATATATATGTCTTCTTGTTACACTGACTGAACTGCTGAGGGAAAAAAATTCAACAGGTTATTAACCTATTCATGAAGCCAAAACAAAAACCTATACTGAATAGGGCTCGAGCACAAGTTACTGCAGTGCCTCCACCATAGCAGGCGAAGTTTACACAGTGAGGATCCAACTAAGCTTATGCCAAAAAAGCAGCAATCTTATCCATCATTCTAGGTAGGTCATAGATACTATCCCAGTAATCATTACCAGGGAAAAGTCAAAATTGCAATCAAATGAAACTTGTTTGTATCATAAGTCATAACTCATAAAAATTAATATTTCACTCTTGAACTATGAGGCCAGTTAGTCAGAATAAAGAAAGACCGTAATTTCATGCATATAACTATCCCATGCAGCTTCACCTATAACACCTAATTTCTCAACCACTGCATAAGATGGCAGAGTCGCTAATGGATTAATCTTTCGATATCTACATCTCTGATATCTAATTAGTTGTTCTTTATATTTTGTTGTCTTCTTGATGCATATCAGGTCTTTCTCCAGCCATTTCAAGTAAAATTCTTCAATCAAGTGCTGATGCACAATGCTCAAGATAAATTTCATTCAGTCTTCCTGAAATACTTCCTGAGGCGATCTCCACACCATTCCACTCCTTTGTTCTTCATTTTCATCCACTATCAAACTTTTTTCTCTTAAACCAATACCTGTATTAAGTTGTTGTGATTGCACAAACCATTTTAATTTATCATAAAACAATATATGGTACAACAATTGATGTTCTTACAGCAGGCAATTATTAATGAAATCCTACATATCTATGCTACTCCAGTTGCATAACTAACATGTTAACTCTTTATCAGGTTACATGTTAAAATGAAACCATATTAATTGTTTATCATGGTACAACAACTGATGTTCTCCTTCATCATGTTAACTGTTTTAACACCAACAAACAAAAATTAAGTTTTTGATAAGATAATTCAACCATTGTTACGAAAAATCAACATAGCTGCAACGGTAATGTGAAAGAAAGTCATTCATTGCATTTCAAGATAATGGAAGTGATGGGACACAATTCAAATATATAGCAAAAAGTATTGTGGAAATTTGAAGAAGGCAATAAGCTTCATGCCCTCGTCAACAATAGTTGGACACTGGAATGGAGAGAAAGAACGGCGGTTCGTCACCAGATTCGGATATTAGTTAACAGAAAGCATAAACTATACGAATAATTACAACCTAAATATAGGTTAAACCCGAGAACATCATGTATGATACCCTGATCTTAACTTGCAAGACGCTGAACTACAAAAGAAAATTACCCAAGACATACAAGAAAGCAAGGGACTAATACTAATAAAAATTCTTCTCTTTTTTCCTCCTCGTTAAGATCAAGCACACAAGGAGACTCGGCGATCACAAGGAAACATAGAAATGAAGCAGGCACCTCCAAGGAACCTTACTAAAACTAGATCCGTCCGCCGAACAGTAGAAAACCCTGTTTTTTTTTTCGTTTCCTCGAAGATAAAAATTAAATTTCAGCATTGTTGAAGAGAAATCGTGCAATTCAAAAGGGGATCCACCGGTGTCCCAAGAAAAGAACAGCAAGAATCCTGATAGAGATCTGTAGAGAGATCAAGAAGGTTCCGGCACCCACCTGGCTTCGGAGGGGAGTGCTTGATGAACCAGGCGTGGAGGCGGACGCCGTCCGAGGCCCGGAGAAAGACGTCCTCGTAGTCAAGCCGGAGTCGGGCCGGGGTGAAGGGGTAGGCGCGGGCGAGTCCGGGGACCACCGGGACGTACACCAGTCGCTCCTGGAACGCCACCAGCGCCACCATCCCCACCACCGCCACGCCCCCCGCCCCGTAAACCAGCGCCTTCAGGAACGAAACCATCGTTGCTTCCGGGGAATTCCGTCGAACGGGTGGCCGGCAACAAGGAACGCGGTCCCAGGTCCGGAGACGCCGTCCTAGGGGATAGCGAAAGCGAGATTAACTCGCACGTGCGGGGGCGTCCAGTTTGACGGTAAAGATGCTCTGTCGCAAGCACATGCGAGCCTCTCTTTTGACCTCTCACCTTGCGCCACGAAACGGTTCGACTACTCCTGTCTAAGGCGTAGCAGGGAACAGGGTCATTCTTCGATAGCAAATGGTGGGCTCATGCATCGACTCAACGACACGGTTCGACCACTCCTGTCTCCTGTTTTTGGACTCGTTCAGGACAAGTGAGGTCCGCCTGTCTCTCCTTACCAGTAATCTTTCGCCACGTCAGTGAAAGAGGTGTCATGCCCTCTCGTTTTCCTATGGAGCTTACCTGTCTGGGACGATGCAGAAAACAGGGTCCTCCTTCGGTTCACGAAAGAAACCGACGGGGCCCACGAAATGACCCACCGGAAAGGTCGAGTCTCTCCAATTGGATGTTGAATTGAACGACAAATTCTGCGTCGAGTAAGACAGGTGATCCGCACCCGTTCCTACTGAAAGTCTTGACGGAGGAGGGTCATGGCCTCTAAAAAAACATCTGCTCCATCTGGATTGGTTTAGAAACTGTCATGGTGCAGGATTCTGAAGATCTACATTTCTGGTCTCAGACTACTTATCCAATTGTCTTCGATCTTCTCACGTGGAAGTTAAAATGAATTATTACAAGTAATATATATATATATATATATATATATATATAAAGATTAATGATAAATTGTCAAGATGTTTATCGATTGCACTACCTAACACTTTCTTACCAGTAATCTTTCTCATATAAGTTAAAATGAATTATTATAAGTAAACCATCATTACATCATCATTTTCTTTTATTCTTTTTTAGAGTAATAGTAGGTGTGATTTTGACAAAGAAAATTAAAATTTATTTAAGATAAATAAATATTAAAATTTAAAATTTAAAAAAATAATAAAGGCACAAAATATTGTTTTTAAAACAATATCTCATAGGAATTGATCAAAATTTTAGTCTCAAAATTCAACCGGTATCAACCATCTTGTCTTGTGAGTAGTGATTTAATATAAATCCTTTTTAGTGAACCGAATGGCAAGATAAAATTATATATTTGATTTTTAAAAAATTTAAAAAAAAAAAAAGTGGAATTTATACTCGTATTTAAATATTTGAACTGAGAATGTCTAGGAAAAATGATCAAAAGGTGCCTTGGAAGGGTATTGTTGCAAAGAATATATCCTTTTATTATGGGTGGTCATTATAACTATCCTAATTAATTAATTAATTAATTAAAATTTTCTGAGATTGAAAAGAACTCCAACAAAGACTGTGACAGCAATCTAATTAGATGAAGATTCAACATCAACAGAATGAATGATGGTTGGTGCAGAGTTCTACTTCCTTTAAGGTAGGTCTAGAACATGATGGACATGGGAAAGGGCTTTGTTGGATAACTTTTTCTGCAGGTGGTACTGAATCCTACAATCTCAAGCTATCTGCGGACAGAAGAACATGGGTCTCTGTCGTCTCTCTCTAATTGTTTGAGGTTGAAACATTGTAGCAGAGCTTTTTTTTGCAGTTGGTACCGAGTTCCACCATCCTCCGGTAGCTGTAGACATGCTGCTAGCTGTGGATAGAACTTGGATCTCAGTTGTCTCTATTTGGTTGTATGAGATTAGACTTTGTAACAGAGCTTTTTCTGTCGTTGGTACTGAGTTCTACATTCTTAGGAAGGTGTAGATATGTTTGTCTTTGAAAAGAACCCGGATCTCAGCAACTCTCTCTCTCTCTCTCTCTCTCTCTCTCTCGTCCTTTGAGATCGAGTGACACTGTAAGTGAGCTCCTTTACAACTTGCCGTGGAGAGTGACTGTCACATGCACTGCAGAAGAGTGGCCACCACATGTACCGAAGCAACCTTGTTCTTTCTTCTGCTTATCAAGATCTTGGTTGCTTACCCATTAATGAAGCAATCGTCAGCTTAATACTATGGAGTCGGTCCGACTGTTTATCCTAACATCTTCACGCTTGAAGTTAAGATGAAATTTACTTTAGGGTGAATTTTAGGCCGAAGCCATAAGATAGATGCTACTATCTATATTGAGTAAAACGATGAACTTGTACAAGTAGAAATAGTAACATCACAGATCATATTATTTTCATAATATAGAGAATAAAAAATAATTTACCAGTACCATTAATATAATATAAACTAGAGGAGTTTGACTTTCTACTTCCACCAGGATGGTTCTTGCAAAATTTGCATCGAGGATACATTGGGAAAGCTCCATCCGATATTCAAATTAGTTCTAAATAGAAAATAAAAATATACAAATAGTTTGAGAGTTCTAAATATAAAATATGCCTATAGATGTCCTCCTTTTA